TCATCTGCAATGAAGAAGTCGTTGGTCTTTCAAAATTCTGTCATGCGATCTCCAGCTTCAGTTCCATCACCAAGGCCATAGTTTCCTCTACTGAGGCTTCTTGTTTGCTTTCAGCTGTCTTACTCCAATCACCAGTAATTATCACTGCCACTACATTTTGATGCATTTTATTCCATTTCAGACTGAAGTGGGTAGAAATCTTCAGTTTCTTCACCACTGGCTTTAGTGGTTGATGTGTAAATTTTATTAATAATTGTATTAACTGATGTTCTTCCTTGTAGGCATATAGATATTAGTCTACTACATAGGCATTGCACATCAAGGTCTCAAAATATTCTTTTTGATGAATGCAACATCATTTCTCTTGAGTTTCTTTGTTAGTAGTGCTTTGCTTCTCCTGGGTGTCTTTCCATATAAAATTGGTGATTCATTTTTTTCATTTCTTTAGAGAATGATGTTAGAAGCTGAATAGGGATTACATTTGTAAATTGCTTTGAGTAGTATTGATATTTTCACAATATTAAATTCCTATCTATGAACACAGAACATTATTCCATTTATATGTCTCTTTTAGTTTCTTGTAATAGTGTTTTGTAGTTTTCTTTGTACAAGTCTTTTGTTTCTGGTTTATTCTTAAGTATTTCATCTTTGGGGTGGCTATTGCAAACGGTATTGTTTTCTTAATTTCCTTTTCAGAGGTCTCCACCTTAGTATACAGAAATCCTATTGATATTTTTTGTTTGGTGTTATTTTTAATACTGATTTTGTAACTGCCACATTGTTGAATCTTTTAATTATTTCCAGAAACTTTCTTGTATAGTCTTTGGGTTTTTCTACATATAGAGTCAGATCATCTGCAAATAGATTTATACTTCCTTGCCAATTTGGATGCCTTTCATTTTTTTGTTGTCTAATAACTCTGGTTTCCAGCATTATATTAACTAAGAATGGTGATAAAGGGCATCGACACCTGGTTCTGTTTGCAGAGGAATGCTTTCAGTTCCTTCACATTGAGCAAAATGCTAGCTATTTATTTTGCTTATATGGCCTTGATTATGTTAAGGAATGTCTCTCCTATTTCTACTGTTGTTAACTGTTTTTTATTCCAAATGGATTTTGTTAAATGCCTTGTATGAATCAATTGATAAAATCACATTGCTCCTGTTGTTTTATGCATAGGATGGATTATATTGATTGTGTTTTCTAATACTGAACCATCCTTGCATACCTGGTATAACTCCCACTCAGTCGTGATGTATTATTTTAAAATATTTTGTGGGATTCTATTGGCTAGGATTTTTACATATATGTTATAAGAGAAAGTGGTCTGTGATGTTCTCTTCTGATCACGTCTTTGCCTTGTTTTGATATCAAGTTTGTTTTGGTAAAATGAGTTCAGGTGTTGTCCATCCTTTTCTACATTCAGGAATAGTGTGTGCAGAACGGTGTGAACTCTTCTCTGAACGCTTGGTAGAATTTCTTGGTGAAGCTGTCTAGTCCTGGACTTTTTCGGTTGGGATTTTTTTAAAGATAGTTTTTATTAGCTTAAAATTCACATATCATAAAATTTAATCATTCAATCCTATTAAAAAAAGTTGTGCAACCATCACCACAATCATTTTCAGAACATATTCTTTTTGTAGTCATTGTTAGCTCCCTATGTTCCCCCAACCTTCCCTGCCGTACCCCTAGGTAATTATTAATCCAGTTACTGGCTTTATAGGTTTTCCTATCCTGGATTTCATTTACAGAAAATCATACAAAACACAAACAACAAAAAGCCCAACAGCAATGACAAAACAGAGAAAAGCCTTAATCAAAAAGAAAGCAGAAAATATTAAAAACTGAAACAACTTTAAAAAACATACAAATCATTTTATTGGGGTCTCATACAGCTCTTATCACAATACATACATACATAGCGTCAAACATATTTGTCATACATCTCTTATCACAATCCATACATCCATTCATTGTGTCAAGCACATTTGTACATATGTTGCCATCATCATTCTCAAAACATTTTCTTTCTACTTGAGCCCTTGCTATCAGCTCATTCCCCCTTTCTCCATTCTATTTCCCTCATGAACCCTTGATAATTTATAATTTTTTTTTCATGTCTTACACCAACTGCTGTCTCCCTTCACCTACTTTTCTGTTGTCCGTCTCCCTGGGAGGGGGTTGTATGTAGATCATTGTAATCGGTTCCCCATTTTCCCCCTACCATCCGCTTCCCCTCCTGGTATTGCTACTCTCATTATTGGTCCTGAGAGGGTTATCTGTCCTGGATTCCCTGTGTTGACAGCTCTTATCTGTACCAGTGTATATGCTCTGGTCTAGGTGGATTTGTAAGGTAGTACTGGGGTCATGATAGTGGTGGAGGGGGTGAGGAAGAAGCATTAAAGAACTAGAGGAGGGGGAAAATGAGCTGATATCAAGGGCTCAGTTGTCTTCTCCTCTGGATTGTTTATCCAGCCTATCTTTTCTAGATAGACATGCAGAGACAATAATAAGCACAAAAACAAGCAGAGCAAAACAAAAAAAACCCAAAACAACAACAAAACAAAAGCCTATAGTTTGTTGACCTTTAGGAATATTTTCTGCTTGAGTCTGATGGGTGCCATACCCTGGCCCCAAAGTCTGTTTTTGGTATTCCCAGGGACTTCACTGCTTTGCTCCCCTTGCTGCTCTGTTGCACACCCTTAGTGTGAAACAACTTTTAAATTGGTCAAAAGGGAGATCAGAAGATAAGGCATTACATTTTAACCTAGTTACATCTGCCATAATTGGCTTTATAATGCTCTCTGTCTGATAGCAAGGCTATTCACATTGCTGAACTATGGCCAGAGGGGATTCACAAGAGGTTTAATCCATCTGGGGACCCTGCAAATGGATTTCGACCTTCCACTGTCATCCATGGTCTTCTGTAAACTCAGTGTTCAGAATTTAAGTTATGAGACCATTCCCACTTTTAGATTTCGGTTTTATTATTTACAAGTTTAAATAGCACAGGCTGGAGTGCTTCTTCCATGTGGATTTAGATGATGCTTCATTTAGACAGCTGCTTGTTTGAAGGCAAGCCTTTTAAGACTCCAGATGCTCGTCTTTCGGACAGCGGGGTACCAGCTGGTTTCTTCACCTCACTTTGCTCTAGCAACATCCCTTCTCTGATCTCTTCATGAGGGCGAGTAGTGAGTTGGGCCAAGTCATAAGATTAATTGTTCTTAGATTGGGACTTGAATTAAGGGCAAGCAGTTGAGAGGTTTTTAATGACCTTGGTCTATTATGATGCATTTGAAATAAGGTGCTGCAGAAGAATGTTGAAAGTACCATGGACTGCTGAAAGGACAAACCAGTCTGTATGGGACGAAGTTAGGCCAGAGTCCTCCTTAAAGGCAAGGATAGCAAGATTTCATCGTACATATTTTGGACATATTGTCAGGAGAGACCAATCACTGGAGGAGGACATCCTGTTTGGCAATGTGGAAATGCTGTGGAAAAGAGGAAGGTCCTCTCTGAGATGGCCTGACTTGTGGCTGCATCGATGGGCTCAGGCAGAGGGACAATTGTGAGGATGGTGCAGGACTGGGCAGGGTTTCCTTCTGCTGTGCTGGGGTCGCTAGGGGTCAGAGCCGACTCGGTGGCACCTAACAACACGTGTATAAGACTATTGAGGTTATCGACATCAGTCTCTGTTGATGTAGGTAGGTGGTGTGTTTCTAGAAATTTGCTCATTTCTTTTATGTCTTCAAGTTTGTTGGCGTACAGTCTTTTATAATATTTTTTATTTCAGTTAGTCCTATTGTAATGTTGCCTGTTTTGTTTCTGATTAATTTTTCATCTTCTCCTCTCTTAAGTTTGCCAGCAATTGGTCACTTTTATTAATCCTTTCAAGGAACGAACTTCTTGATTTTTTTCTATTCTCTGATTCACTTATTTCTACTCTCCTCTTTAGTTCTTTTGGTGACTGTGGGTTAACTTTATTGCTTTTCTTCTTCTTTTTTGATGTATGCACTTATTGCTCTAAGTTGCCCTCTGAGCACTACTGTTGCGGTCTTCCGCAACAGGTTTGGTATGTTGTGTTTTCATTCTTGTTTCCAGGAATTGTTAAACTACACTCCTTGTTTCTTCAACAATCCAGTAGTTCTTCAGCAGAGTGTTGTTCAATTGCCATATTGAACATGTTCAATGATGGTGAACATCCAGATGTTTTCCCTGTCTATCTGCTTATTTCACTACTTTGTTGCTGAGGGTTGAAGAATCACTGCTGTCTATGCTGTCATCTTTTGGCCAAGAGGCAACTCTTTCCCAGTCTTACTTCGAGTGCCTTCCAACCAGAGGGACTCATCTTCTGGCACCGTCATCAGACAAGGTTCTGCTGCTCTTCACAAGGTTCTCAGTGGCTAATTCCTTAAAAGTGGACAGCCTCTTCCTTCTTCTCCATCTGTTCATAGTCTAGAAACTCTGCTGAAGCCTGTTGACCATAAGTGACCTGCTGGTATTTGAAATACAACTAGCATAGCTTCCAGCATCACAGCAACATATAAACCACTACAATACGACAAACTGACGGAGAAGAGGTGGGTAGTCTACATATCCCTGTCCGTATCCAGAGTCCCCATAGTTATGGCCAGTGTAGTCATATCCACTAGAGCCACTGTAGTTTTGATCACCAGTGTCATTGCTGTGAATCGGAAATGACTCTGGGGCAATGAGTTTTGCTTGAGTATAGACGTTATTGTGATCTACATATTCTTGATTGTAGTTGTTATTAAATCCTTCGGTTCTAGTTTTGGCCCGGGCCTCATCCAGGACACAAGTACCACCTTGCCTATCAGCTGCAAAACCTCAGTCTACTGTTCTGTTGTTACTGGTGTTGCCTCCGTACCTCTTTGCATTGGGCAACTTTGGTTTGACATTCGTCCAACAGGAAAGATGTAGATAAGAATGAAATTCTAGTTCTCATGTTATCTAAACCTCTCATTTCAGAGAACAGCATTGCCCAACCTGATTCCAAAGCTCTTTGTGCTGCATCTCCATCTCACTGTCTGCTCAGTCTCTCTCCTGTCGCTCTCTGGCTCTGGGAGCTGTACTCCATCACCCTGCATTCCCTGAACTCTCCAATCTCTCTGGATCTTTCAGAGGAAATCCTTCCGAGCTTGGCGCAAACTGGTACCCCTGCTCCACTTGCCCACACCGGAGGCCCTGTCGGTCATGTACTCCTACCTGCAACACCGCAAGATCAAGATCCTAGAGATGTTCAACAAGTTGAACCACAGTGATAACCAAAATATCACCCGGGAGGAGTTCATTACAGCTCTGAAAACAGTAAGTGCCCTTACTGGGGCAGAAGGGGAGGACGAACCTGTACTTTTTTTTTTTTTAATCATTTTATTGGGGGCTCATACAATTCTTATCACAATCCATAAATCCATCCATGGTGTCAAGCACATTTGTACATTTGTTGCCATCATCATTCTCAAAACGTGTTCTTTCTACTTGAGCCCTTGGTATGAACATGTACTCTTCATTGCTTGTAACACTGTTCTGGAAAGTATGGCTTTTTTCCTGTGGCCAGATCAGACTCCTGACACCAACTTGCACCAATTTGCCTTGAGTGGGGAGAGTCTGTGGAGAAGATCCCATCACCAGCGACTTGGAAAATCGTTGTTTCTTGCCCATTCGACCCCAGAACTAAGCACAGAAAGAGTTGAGACTTCAGTCCTGATTTTAGAATCCTGTCTGGTTGTTCTGTATGTATATAGGAGTCAGCTAGCAGTCTTTTGAGGATGCTTCAGATTCCGTAAGTCTGTGTGAAAGTCAAGATGCTGCCTTTCTAACAAGATCGCTCCTGTCTTGGGTGATGCCAGTGGTACTGGCCAAATGGATCCCACCCCACTGGCTATTTAGTTAGACATTTAAATCAATTCTAAATTTATCAAATTAAAACCATTTCGTCAGTCACACCAGCCCCATCGCAAGTGCTCAACACTTACATGCACTATGATTACTCTCTTGGCCTGTCCTGATGTAGGATAGCTCCATCATCCCAGAAAGTTCTGTTGGCCTAACATGGGTTTGCAGACTATGGCCCATGAGCCAAATCCAGACTGCCTCTTGTTTTCTGTAAATAAAATCTTATTGGGACACAGCAACACCCACTTACTTGCACATTGTCTACCACTGTTCTTGCATCCCAAAGCAGAGTTGAGCAGTCTTGACCAAAATGATACGACAGGCAAAGTCTGAAGAATTTCATTTCTGGCCCTTTATAAAACAAGTTTGCTTTGGCATAGTTCAATATTTCCCCAAATGGTTAGTCTGGGTAGACTAGACAAACAAATTCATGGACACACATATGCGTATAAGAAAGAGATTTATATATAAGAGCAATTGAACATTGAGAAAACATCCCAGCCCAATCCAGATCAAGTCCATAAGTCCAATATTAGCCCATATTTCCTATATCCATCTATAAAGTCCTCTTCAGATTCACAAAACTCCTGCAATGACGCTGAATGCAGAAGATCACAGGCCAGTGGGTAGAATGTCATTGGATCCAGTGTCATTAGAAACATCTCAGCATTGGCAGGGGTCTCTCTGTGGCTTCTCCGGCTTCTGAGGTCTGTTTGCGTCCATGTGGCTTGTCTCCTGCAATGTCTCCCAGGAAGTAGCAGAGAGAGAGAGGTGTCTTCCACCTCCAAGGAGGAAGTACCAGATTTCTCAGAATTCTCAGAAGAAGGCCATGCCCACAGAAGTCTCATTGGCTATCTCCAGATTGACAGTTTAGACTCCACCCCTACACGCTTAATCCCTAAATTGACACCAGATTAGGTGACTACCACAGAACACCCCTTGTCAATTTAACACTTTCACATAACTCTTTAGCCTCTTGGCAGACATGGAACAATCCAGAGGGCTGCAAAAGCAGAAGTCTACACTCTGTCCTGGATCGGGGACTATAGTACAAACGTTTTCCATTGCTAGAGGGTTTCCAACTGTATGTGGCCTACAGCTCTTTTTTCAAAAAACAAACAAACAAAAATTACTCAGTGCTTCCCTGGCAACTAAAATTCCAGGATAAAAGGTAAGTATCTACTTTTGCAGTTCCCTGCTCCCCAATCATTCCAGTACCTCCCAGGGGGTGGTATCACCCACTTTGGGAAATGCTGGCTCTTATTTCTGTATTAAGTTCTTATTTATTTTGAATACCAAGCCCCTTAAAGAATCCTTAGGAACAGACTGTTGCATCTTTGATTGTTTTAAACCCATCAGCAGTTTCCACCCTGCTGCTTTATGATGTAATTATCTGAGCATTTGGAAAACTCTAAACAACAAAAAGACTTAAAAAATACAAACAGTTGTCACTGGGTAGACTCATCTCATGAAGCCTCGAGTGTATTGGGGCAGAGCTGCGCTCCTCAGGGCCTGCAGTCGGTGACTTCTCAGAAGTAGGTCACCAGGCCTCTCTCTCAAGGCACCGCTAGGTGGAATTAAACCTCCAACCTTTTGGTGAGCAGCTGAGCACTTAATGGTGTGTTACCCAGGAGCTCCACAAGAGATGAAGGAAGGATGAAGGAAGCGTAAACAAGGGTCTAGAATGGCAAGGAGTCCTTGACAGCTAAGTGAAAGGTGAGTGATTTGAACCTACCAGCCTTTCCACGGGAGGAAGGCAGTCTGCTTCCATAAAGGACAGCCTGGGAAACCCTAGGATGGGACCATTCTGCTCCGTCCTATAGAGTTGCTATGAGTCACAATCCAGTCAACAGGTCTGGTTTTGGTTTTAATTGTCCTAGAAAACGATATGTCATGTATTAGTGCCAGGAGCGTTCTGATCTTCCTAACAATTTCAGTGAGC